TGGGTCATTGTCCTGCTGGAAGACCCATGACCTCTGACGGAGACCCAACTTTCTGACACCGGGCCCTACATTGCCCCCCAGAATTCTTTGGTGGTCTTCAGATTTCATGATGCCATGCACACGGCCAAGACATCCAGTGCCTGAAGCAGCAAAGCAACCCCAAAACATCAGTGACCCCCCACCATGTGTGACTGGAGGGACTGTGACCCCCCACCATGTGTGACTGGAGGGACTGGATTCTTTCCTGCAAAGGCTTAATTGCTTTTTCTGAAAACAGTAGAATGATGGGCTTTACCAAAAGCTGGAATTTGGTTTCTGTCCACAGCACATTCTCCCAGAAGGATTTTGGCTTCCTTAGGTCAGTTTTGGCAACTCCAATCTGGCTTCCAATATTTTTCTGTGTCAGCAGTGGGGTCCTCCTGGGTCCCCTCCCATATTTCTGTGTCAGCGGTGGGGTCCTCCTGGGTCTCCTCCATATTTCTGTGTCAGCAGTGGGGTCCTCCTGGGTCTCCTCCCATATTTCTGTGTCAGCAGTGGGGTCCTCCTAGGTCTCTTACCAAATTTCTGTGTCAGCAGTGGGGTCCTCCTGGGTCTCCTACCATATTTCTGTGTCAGCAGTGGGGTCCTCCTGGGTTTCCTACCATATTTCTGTGTCAGCAGTGGGGTCCTCCTGGGTCTCCCACCATATTTCTGTGTCAGCAGTGGGGTCCTCCTGGGTTTCCTACCATATTTCTGTGTCAGCAGTGGGGTCCTCCTGGGTTTCCTACCATATTTCTGTGTCAGCAGTGGGGTCCTCCTGGGTTTCCTACATATTTCTGTGTCAGCAGTGGGGTCCTCCTGGGTTTCCTACCATATTTCTGTGTCAGCGGTGGGGTCCTCCTGGGCCTCCTCTCATATTTCTGTGTCAGCGGTGGGGTCCTCCTGGGTCTCCTCCCATATTTCTGTGTCAGCGGTGGGGTCCTCCTGGGTCTCCTCCCATATTTCTATGTCAGCAGTGGGGTCCTCCTGGGTCTCCCACCATATTTCTGTATCAACGGTGGGGTCCTCCTGGGTCTCCTCCCATATTTCTGTGTCAGCAGTGGGGTCCTCCTAGGTCTCTTACCAAATTTCTGTGTCAGCAGTGGGGTCCTCCTGGGTTTCCTACCATATTTCTGTGTCAGCAGTGGGGTCCTCCTGGGTTTCCTACCATATTTCTGTGTCAGCAGTGGGGTCCTCCTGGGTCTCCCACCATATTTCTGTATCAACGGTGGGGTCCTCCTGGGTCTCCTCCCATATTTCTGTGTCAGCAGTGGGGTCCTCCTAGGTCTCTTACCAAATTTCTGTGTCAGCAGTGGGGTCCTCCTGGGTTTCCTACCATATTTCTGTGTCAGCAGTGGGGTCCTCCTGGGTTTCCTACCATATTTCTGTGTCAGCAGTGGGGTCCTCCTGGGTCTCCCACCATATTTCTGTATCAACGGTGGGGTCCTCCTGGGTCTCCTCCCATATTTCTGTGTCAGCAGTGGGGTCCTCCTAGGTCTCTTACCAAATTTCTGTGTCAGCAGTGGGGTCCTCCTGGGTTTCCTCCTACCATATTTCTGTGTCAGCAGTGGGGTCCTCCTGGGTTTCCTACCATATTTCTGTGTCAGCAGTGGGGTCCTCCTGGGTTTCCTACCATATTTCTATGTCAGCAGTGGGGTCCTCCTGGGTTTCCTACCATATTTCTGTGTCAGCAGTGGGGTCCTCCTGGGTTTCCTACCATATTTCTGTGTCAGCAGTGGGGTCCTCCTGGGTTTCCTACATATTTCTGTGTCAGCAGTGGGGTCCTCCTGGGTTTCCTACCATATTTCTGTGTCAGCGGTGGGGTCCTCCTGGGCCTCCTCTCATATTTCTGTGTCAGCGTGGGGTCCTCCTGGGTCTCCTCCCATATTTCTGTGTCAGCGGTGGGGTCCTCCTGGGTCTCCTCCCATATTTCTATGTCAGCAGTGGGGTCCTCCTGGGTCTCCCACCATATTTCTGTATCAACGGTGGGGTCCTCCTGGGTCTCCTCCCATATTTCTGTGTCAGCAGTGTGGTCCTCCTAGGTCTCTTACCAAATTTCTGTGTCAGCAGTGGGGTCCTCCTGGTTTCCTACCATATTTCTGTGTCAGCAGTGGGTCCTCCTGGGTTTCCTACCATATTTCTGTGTCAGCAGTGGGGTCCTCCTGGGTCTCCCACCATATTTCTGTATCAACGGTGGGGTCCTCCTGGGTCTCCTCCCATATTTCTGTGTCAGCAGTGGGGTCCTCCTAGGTCTCTTACCAAATTTCTGTGTCAGCAGTGGGGTCCTCCTGGGTTTCCTACCATATTTCTGTGTCAGCAGTGGGGTCCTCCTGGGTTTCCTACCATATTTCTGTGTCAGCAGTGGGGTCCTCCTGGGTTTCCTACCATATTTCTATGTCAGCAGTGGGGTCCTCCTGGGTTCCTACCATATTTCTGTGTCAGCGGTGGGGTCCTCCTGGGCCTCCTCTCATATTTCTGTGTCAGCGGTGGGGTCCTCCTGGGTCTCCTCCCATATTTCTGTGTCAGCAGGTGGGGTCCTCCTGGGTCTCCCTCCCATATTTCTATGTCAGCAGTGGGGTCCTCCTGGGTCTCCCACCATATTTCTGTTCAACGGTGGGGTCCTCCTGGGTCTCCTACCATATTTCTGTGTCAGCAGTGGGGTCCTCCTGGGTCTCCTCCCTTATTTTCTGTGTCAGCAGTGGGTGTAACGGAATCGGTACCCCGACCGCACTTGGGTATATTCCATTATCCTGCAGCTTCCCCTGTCCGAACACCATCCACGGACCACAACCCTGAAATCCCTCAGGAAATAGACAGCACCCAGCTCTTAAAACAGAAAGCCAACTCTTTATTTTAACACAAAACACAGAATATATACAGGGGCGGGGAAACACAACCAGGGACAGGAAACAACTCATCAGCCCACCCTCTCAGTGGGAAGGGCTACAGTATAGGCAGGAAACACCTCATCACCCCTCCCCATCCAACCAGACACAGAACAATGGGATGCAGCCATGTGGCAAAGGACATTGACCAACCCCCACACCAATACACAAACAGTACATCCCATAATAGTTGGCTGGACAGGAAGACACAGCACAATGGGGGGAGCACATGGCAAACAAACAATGGACAGCCATGTGGCCCAGAACAAAGGAATGGACACATGGCAGTGGACAATGGGCAACCACATGGCAGGGACAAAGGAACACACACTATAGACCACACAATACTGGGACATTCACATTCACACCCTGTACCCCTTAACAGGCACAGGGTGGGTTAAACATAATGAGGGGGACATGAGATGACCAAGCGGTCCCCCCACCCCCAAAAGTCACTCCCATCACAGTGGGGTCCTCCTGGGTCTCCTCCCATATTTCTGTGTCAGTGGTGGGGTCCTCCTGGGTCTCCTCCCATATTTCTGTGTCAGCAGTGGGGTCCTCCTGGGTCCCCTCCCATATTTCTGTGTCAGCAGTGGGGTCCTCCTGGGTCTCCTACCATATTTCTGTGTCAGCAGTGGGGTCCTCCTGGGTCTCCTACCATATTTCTGTGTCAGCAGTGGGGTCCTCCTGGGTCTCCCACCATATTTCTGTGTCAGCAGTGGGGTCCTCCTGGGTCTCCTACCATATTTCTGTGTCAGCAGTGGGGTCCTCCTGGGTCACCTACCATATTTTCTGTGTCAGCAGTGGGGTCCTCCTGGGTCTCCTACCATATTTCTGTGTCAGCAGTGGGGTCCTCCTGGGTCTCCTCCCATATTTCTGTGTCAGCGGTGGGGTCCTCCTGGGTCTCCCACCATATTTTCGTGTCAGCAGTGGGGTCCTCCTGGGTCTCCTACCATATTTCTGTGTCAGCAGTGGGGTCCTCCTGGGTCTCCCAGCATATTTTCGTGTCAGCAGTGGGGTCCTCCTGGGTCTCCTACCATATTTCTGTGTCAGCAGTGGGGTCCTCCTGGGTTTCCTACCATATTTTGCTGTGTAAGCATGGGGTCCTCCTGGGTTTCCTACCATATTTCTGTGTCAGCAGTGGGGTCCTCCTGGGTTTCCTACCATATTTCTGTGTCAGCGGTGGGGTCCTCCTGGGTCACCTACCATATTTCTGTGTCAGCGGGGGGTCCTCCTGGGTCACCTACCATATTTCTGTGTCAGCGGTGGGGTCCTCCTGGGTCTCCCACCATATTTCTGTGTCAGCAGTGGGGTCCTCCTGGGTCTCTCACCATATTTCTGTGTCAGCAGTGGGGTCCTCCTGGGTCCCTTACCATAGCATCCCATTTCATTCAGATGACAACATATAGTGTGTGAACAAACAACGCTGTGCCCTCTGCCATGGGCTGTACACTTCTTGACAATGTTGTGCACAGTGGACACAGGAACATTAGGATCTTTTCATTGATACAGGTGAGTTTTAATGACAAATTACAGGAACATCACAAACTTGGAGTGCAATTATTTCTTAGAATTTTCACAGTAATTTCATCTGGTCCATTTTTGGAGTTTTTGGTGAAATGTGTCAGATTTGGCTTTTTTTTTCTCCACTTTTTTGTGTCATACCGATACAAACCAAAGAAATAAACATGAGAATGCCGAAACATTTGCCATTGTGATAATTTCCAGGCCGTAGTGATGCGTTATCTGACAGAAGTGCAGGGGTGCCAATATTTTTGGCCACGACTGTATATAAATATTTTAGTGACTGAGTTGCTTTAAGAAGGCCACGTTCTTGTGGAGAGCATTCATGGAACTTGGGTTTCCAGCAAAGCGATCTGCTCATTTGTATTCAGAGCGCACTATCAGCTTTATTATTATTTCTTTGATGTTGTGAAATGGCCAGAAGACATTTGTTGACAAAGAGATGTGTTGATAAAAGCATTTGCTAGAAAATAATTCAGAGAATATAATGACCGACAAGGAAATGTACGTCACATTAACAGACGCGTGTTTTTATTTCTTCTTCTCGTTGCAGGTATCTTTGCCTGACTTACAATGGAAAAAATCCTCTGCGGTCTTCTGGTATTTGGAATGACGGTAATGGTCAACTCATGTCCAAAATACTGTGTGTGTCAAAACCTGTCGGAATCCCTGGGAACGTTGTGTCCTTCAAAAGGATTACTTTTTGTACCAGCAGACATTGACCGAAGGACAGTTGAACTTCGACTTGGTGGGAACTTTATCATAAGCATCAATCGGCAAGACTTTGCCAACATGACTGGTCTGGTAGACCTGACCTTGTCTAGAAACACCATCAGTTATATCCAACCTTTTTCTTTTGTGGATCTAGAGAGCCTTCGATCTTTGCATCTAGATGCCAACAGGTTGACCAGCCTTGGAGATGACATATTTAGAGGGCTAATCAATCTCCAGCACCTGATTATGAATAATAACCAACTGAACAGTATCTCAGAGGATGCATTTGAGGATCTTTTACAGACTTTGGAGGATCTTGACCTTTCTTACAATAATCTCAAAGCTATTCCTTGGGATGCCATCAGACGGATGATTAATCTGCATCAGCTAAGTCTGGACCACAACCTTCTGTTTTATATTACAGAGGGTACATTTCAGGACCTGAATAAGTTGGCCAGGCTTGATTTGACTTCGAACAGACTACAAAAAACTACCTCCCGACCCAATATTTGCAAGGTCACAAATATCGATGACTTCTGCAACGCCTTTTCTCCCTCCCTTGTCTCTCAGCTTTGGGGGGAACCCACTTCATTGTAACTGTGAGCTTCTGTGGCTTCGGAGGCTGGAGAGGGAAGATGACATGGAGACATGCGCTTCGCCCTCTGCTCTGAAAGGAAGGTATTTCTGGTATGTTCGCGAAGAGGAATTTATCTGTGAACCCCCTTTGATTACCCAACACAGTCATAAGCTGCTTGCCCTTGAAGGACAAACCGCATCTCTAAAGTGTAAAGCGGTTGGAGATCCTGCTCCGGTCATACATTGGGTCGCTCCCGACGGTCGCCTGATTGGCAACTCTTCAAGAACAGCAGTCTATGACAATGGTACTCTAGATATATTAATAACCACATCCAAGGATTATGGAACCTTTACCTGCATAGCGGCAAATGCTGCGGGCGAGTTGACAGCCCCCGTTGAGCTATCCATTGTTCAGCTGCCCCACCTGAGCAACGGCACCAACCGAACGGCACCACCTAAATCGAGGCTTTCTGACATTACCAGCTCCACCAAATCCAACAGAGGAGAAGTTAAGACTCAACCAGAGAAGGCTGTCGTGGTGTCGGAAGTGACGACTACCACAGCTTTGGTTAAGTGGTCAGTAAGCAAGTCCGCCCCAAAAGTTAAAATGTACCAACTGCAGTACAATTGCTCAGATGATGAAGTTCTCATCTACAGGTAAACTATGTTTAGATTTTATTCTTTTTTAAAAACGTCTTTCCTTCCCTTTCCAAAAAATCTTTTCAAGATATTAAACTACGTGAGAAATAAGCAAGAAATTGTACAAACTGTGATGTTTCTGTATAAAGATTGAAAGGTAAGAGTGTATTTTTTTCCTTTGGAAAACCCATTTTCTGTGTATCTCTGATATATATTGACTTCATTCCGGAGAGCTGCCTTATTCAACAGACCTCGCCGGGCTTCTGCGGTCTCAGTAGGTTTGGGTATGTCACTCAAATATCGCAGCTACTTGACTTGTCTTGACATCACGAAGTTTGAAACTTGAACAATGTCACCTTAATGTTCTTAAAATTTTATGGGAGAAAAATGGTCTATTTACCAAGGAAAACTCCAGCCTGAGATGAAACTTTTCTATCATTTCCAATGGCAGTGTGTATTATATATTATCAGGGCTTTTTTTCAGCAGGAACATGGAGGGAACGCAGTTCCGGCACCTCCACCATTGAATGTATGTAAAGGCAAGGGGTGCTGGGGTGTGCTGGAGGGTCTATTGGCGCTGGCTGCTGGGGCAACTATTGTCACTGGAGGGGATCTAACAAAATGAAAGGCAGACTTTGTAATCAGAGTCTATGACACTCCTGGGATATGGATCTGGTCAGGTAAGTTGCAGAGGGGGTTGTTCATCAGTTTCAGCTGCTTTGGTGTTCGTGAAATTAACAACAGGTGCACTAGATGGGCAACAATGAGACGCTCCCCAAAACAGGAATGGTTTTACAGATGACATTTTATTCCCTCCTCATCTTTTCTGACTGTTTTCACTGGTTTTGCATTTGGCTCGGGTCAGTGTCACTACTGGTAGTATGAGGCCATACCTGGACCCTACAGAGGTTACACAGGCAGTCCAACTCCTCCAGGATGGCACATCAATACCTGCCATTGCCAGAAGGTTTGCTGTGTCTCCCAGCACAGTCTCAAGAGCATGGAGGAGATTCCAAGAGACAGGCAGTTCCTCTGGGAGGGCTGGACAGGGCCGTAGAAGGTCCTTAACCCATTAGCAGGACCGGTATCTGCACCTTTGTGGAAGGAGGAACAGGAGGAGCCCTGCCAGAGCCCTACAAAATGACCTCCAGCAGGCCACTGGTGTGAATGTCTCTGACCAAACAATCAGAAACAGACTTCATGAGGGTGGCCTGAGGGCCCAATGTCTTCTAGTGGGCCCTGTGCTCACTGCCCGGCACCATAGAGCTGGATTGGCATTTCCCAATGAACCCCAGAATTGGCAGGTCCACCACTGGCACCCTGTGCTTTTCACAGATGAGAGCAGGTTCCCCCTGAGCACATGTGACAGACGTGAAAGGGTCTGGAGAAGCCGTGGAGAACGTTCTGCTGCCTGTAACATGGTTCAGTATGACCGTTCTGGTGGTGGGTCAGTGATGGTCTGGGGAGGCATCTCCATGGAGGGACACACAGACCTCTACAGGCTAGACAATGGCACCCTGACTGCCATTAGGTATGGGGATGAAATCCTTGGACCCATTGTCAGACCCTACACTGGTGCAGTGGGTCCTGGGTTCCTCCTGGTGCGACGGGTCCTGGGTTCCTCCCGGTGCAGTGGGTCCTGGGTTCCTCCTGGTGCAGTTGGTCCTGGGTTCCTCCTGGTGCAGGGGGTCCTGGGTTCCTCCTGGTGCAGGGGGTCCTGGGTTCCTCCTGGTGCAGGGGGTCCAGGGTTCCTCCTGGTGCAGGGGGTCCTGGGTTCCTCCTGGTGCAGGGGGTCCTGGGTTCCTCCTCCTGGTGCAGTGGGTCCTGGGTTCCTCCCGGTGCAGTGGGTCCTGGGTTCCTCCCGGTGCAGTGGGTCCTGGGTTCCTCCTGGTGCAGTGGGTCCTGGGTTCCTCCTGGTGCAGTGGGTCCTGGGTTCCTCCTGGTGCAGTGGGTCCTGTTTTCCTCCTGGTGCACGACAATGCCCGGCCTGATGCAGGCAGTTCCTGGAGGATGAAGGAATTGATACCATTGAATGGCCCCCACGCTCACCTGACCTAAATCCAATAGAACACCTCTGGGATGTCATGTTTCGTCCATCCGACGCCGCCAGGTTGCACCTCAGACTGTCCAGGAGCTCAGTGATGTCCTGGTCCAGATCTGTGAGGAAATCCCCCAGGACACCATCCGTGGTCTCATTAGGACCCTCCTCAGAAGTTGTCAGGCATGCATACAAGCATGTGGGGGCCACACAGACTACTGAGGACCATTCTGAGTTGCTGCAATGACATTTCACCAACATGGACTCGCCTGCTGCATCATTTCTTCACTTTGATTTTCAGGGTGTCTGTGAATTCAGTCCTCTGTAGGTCCATCATTTCCATCCAATGATGGGGCGTCCTTACGTTCCTCACCCATCCCCCGTCCATGTCAGTATAGAGATCCAGCAGGAGATTCCTCCCCATTGGGATCTGATGGGTTCTCAGAGTCTTCCTTTCATTTTTTTGAGCCGTGTATTTTTCAGTAGGGTCTATTGTTTGCAGATGGGTAATCTATTGTTGCTGGTTGGGGGGAGTTGCCTTGTGTTGCTGGGGGTTCAATTGTTGCTGGGAAGCATCTACTGTTGAGGGAGAGGTCTATTGATGGTGGTAGCTGGGGTATCTGTTGTTGCTGTTGGAGGTCTGTTGTTGCTGGGGCAGTATTTTTGTGGTGAGGGGTCCATTGTTGCTAGGGTTCTATTGCTGTATAGGGGATCTATTGTTGCTGGAGGGGGTCTATTGTTGTGTGGAGTCTATTGTTGCTGGATGGGTCTGTTGTGTGGGGATCTATTGTTGCTGGATGGGGGTCTATTGTTGTGTGAGGGTCTATTGTTACTGGAGGGGTCTGTTGTTGTGTGGGGATCTATTGTTGCTGGCTGAAGGGGATCTATTTTACTACTTTTCTTGTTATCATTAACAAATTCCTTACCACCACAAAAATGATGCTTGGTTCTGTATTCTCTAAAAGGTCCGGTACTGGGAGAGCTGTGTAGGGGGTGGAACCAAGGGAAGGTGCTCAGAGGTGGTAGGGGGCGGAGACAAGGGGTGATGCAGAAGGGGGAGTTCCTTCACTGAGAAGTAAAGCCCTGTATATTATATGAATGGCAAAGGGTGCTGGGGTGTGCTGCAGGGTCTATTGATGCTAGAGGGGATCTGTTGCTGGGGGAGGTCTGTTGCTGCTGGGGAGGTCTGTTGCTGCTGGGGAGGTCTGTTGCTGCTGGGGAGGTCTGTTACTGCTGGGGAGGTCTGTTGCTGCTGGGGAGGTCTGTTACTGCTGGGGAGGTCTTATATTTCTGGGGGTTCAATTGTTAAGGGAGGGGTCTATTGTTGCTTGTTGCTGGAGGGTCTACTGATTCTGGCTGCAGGTAGATCTGGTGTTGCTGTAGTTGTTTCTTGGGGTATTTTGTTGCGGGTGGTCCATTGTTGCTGGGGAAAGGGGGGTATTATGTTGCTGGGGTGGGTCTTATGTTGCTGGGGGGTCTATTAATGCTTGGAGTGATCTATTGTTGAGGGAGGGGTCTATTATTGGTGGAGGATCTACTGATACTGGCTACAGAGAGATCTGCTGTTGCTGCGGGGCTCTATTGTTGCTGGGGAGTATTTTGTTGTGGGTGGGGCACCAACCCCACCAATACATGATCTCCTATTGGTTCATGACAGCAGATTGTTTATAATATCTATTAATTTCTAGTCTATTCTATTCTTTTCTGTTCTATTCAATTCTTCTCTATTCTATTCTTTTCTATTTGTTTCTTTTTTTATTCTATTCTAAATTATTCCATTCAAAAATCAGTATTATACTTCTATTCTTTCTATTTCCCGCGCACCCCCAACGATCTCCTACGGACACAGCTGATCACGTGGTATGGTAAAGGGCCAATCACAGCGGCCTTTTACCACGTGACCAGCTGTGTCCAATGACAGAGGAGATCACCGGGAAATGCAGTTGCCGGTTATCGGCTGCACTTTCCTCGCACTGTCACAGCATGAGGAATGTACTGCCGAGAACCGACAGTTGTCAGAGGAAGGATCGGCACCAATCATCAGTGCCCTGATGATCAGTGCCCAGCAGTGCCGCTCACAAGTACCCAGCAGTGCCACCCACCAGTGCCCATCAGTGCAGTCCAGCAGTGCCACATATCAGCGCCCATCATCCGTGCTCATCAGTTCTGCCTATCAGTGTCACCTCATCAGTGCTGCCTATCGGTGCCACCAGTCCCCCTCATCAACGCACATCAGTGAAGGAAAAAAATTACCTGTTTGCAAAATTTTATAATTTTATAATAGAATAGCTGAGAAATGGCCTGGGCAGGAAGGGGGTAGAAGTGTCCGGTAGGCAGGAAGGGGGTAGAAGTGTCCTGTAGGCAGGAAGGGGGTAGAAGTGCCCTGTAGGCAGGAAGGGGGTAGAAGTGCCCTGTAGGCAGGAAGGGGGTAGAAGTGCCCTGTAGGCAGAAGGGGTAGAAGTGTCCTGTAGGCAGGGAAGGGGTAGAAGTGTCCTGTAGGCAGGAAGGGGGTAGAAGTGCCCGGTAGGCAGGAAGGGGGGTAGAAGTGTCCTGTAGGCAGGAAGGGGGTAGAAGTGCCCGGTAGGCAGGAAGGGGGTAGAAGTGTCCAGCAGTGCCAGGCAGGAAGGGGGTAGAAGTGCCCTGTAGGCAGAAAGGGGGTAGAAGTGCCCGTAGGCAGGAAGGGGGTAGAAGTGTCCAGTAGGCAGGAAGGGGGTAGACAGTGCCCTGTAGGCAGGAAGGGGGGTAGAAGTGCCTGTAGGCAGGAAGGGGGTAGAAGTGCCCTGTAGGCAGGAAGGGGGTAGAAGTGTCCTGTAGGCAGGAAGGGGGTAGAAGTGCCCGGTAGGCAGGAAGGGGGTAGAAGTGTCCTGTAGGCAGGAAGGGGGTAGAAGTGCCCGGTAGGCAGGAAGGGGTAGAAGTGTCCTGGTAGGCAGGAAGGGGGTAGAAGTGCCCGGTAGGCAGGAAGGGGGTAGAAGTGGGTGTAGGCAGGAAGGGGG